GGAACGCGGCGGAACCGCGTTCCGGCACCTTTTTCCGGGCCGGCCGCACCGGAAATAGCCCCTCCCACACCGGAAATAGCCCCTCCCAAATTTTACTTGCATTCCTGTTCTCTAAAGGGGCGGTCCTAGGGTTTGATGAGGGCGTGGCCAGGTTTGAGTTCCGCCACCTTTTCTCCGAGAAAAAAAGCCCTGCTTAAAAGCAAACAAATCCCTAAGCTTTTCAATAAAAGAAACTTCTAAGGAAGATACTAGGAGACCAATGTTAATCTTTTTTGTGTTTCATCTATAGTATGTGGGTATAAAATCTGAACAAGAGAAATCCAGAGTATGAAGTTAATCAGACTGAAGACATAGATTCTGGAAATATTTTTTTTTCTCAGCATCAGTACTGTATGGTATTTTACAAGTTAAAAGTAACTGAAATATGACATTCTAGGTAGATAAAGATGGCTGATCCTTGGGAAGAATGCATGAACTACGCAATAGCTTTAGCAAGAAAAGCTGGACAGGTATGAATAATTTACTTTCTATTGGGATCAGAGAAACATTTAAAAATGTCATCCTCAAAAATGGTTTAACTGTTCAAGTACTGATTTTAAATTTAGCCTTTGAAGCTTGGAAATTGTGGTTGTCACCATAATGAATAATTGTACTAACATATTTCAGTACTGCTGTAAGAACTACAAAAATAATGAATTGAGGGACATTTGTGCCAGCTAGGCCCTAAGTTGCCATCTCTGCTTAAGAATATTAACTTTTCTGAGAAGTTGTATGTACTCAAGAACCTGACTTGAATTTCTGTCTATTAACTAAGCAATACAAAGAAATGAGGGTTTTACAGAGCAAACAAGAAATCACATATACTTTAAGATATGAAAATAAATATAAGATTTAGAAACCCTAAATTATGGTCAATTTATAAAAACAATTAACCAATTCATCTATAAAATTGTGTACTTCCTATAGTGCCCACATATGTATTAGTTATGCATGGCACTTGAACACAATCTGAAAAGGGTTCCATTTTCTACATTTTTATTCATTACAAATTTTGTATCTTGTAAAATAAGAATTGAATCTGAGTCTCTCAGTATAATTTTTCTTGCTGCTTCTACGCCTTGCCCCAACAGACAAGTTTTAAATTAAGTCTTACTGATAATTAAGAATATTATTTATCAAGTCCTGTTTTCAAAATAATCATATGAAGATTTTCTGTACAGATAATCCGGGAGGCATTGACAGAGGATATAACTGTCATGATTAAAAGTTCTCCAGCAGATCTAGTCACAGTCACTGATCAAAAAGTGGAAACTATGATTATATCTTCTATAAAAGAAAAATATCCATCACACAGGTACAGGATGCTTTATGATATTAATTGCAAAAGAGAATGTCTCTAAAATACAAGTCTAATCTCAGCAAAGGTCACCCTGTGCAGGATCTTTGAGTTATCATCAATTAACTCATTGAATTTGGTAATAATGTGAAGTGGCTGCACCATAGATAAATGCAATTTGGGCCACGTTAATAGAAGCAATAATTGAATAAATAGATTCCAAATCAGGGGAAGATATAAGTACACTATGTGCTATATTGGTCTGAGTCCATGCTGAACCTGGAGATTCCATTTAAGAAAGATTCAGAGAAAATCTTGCAAAGTGTGGCAGTAATAATAACTGAGTGGCTATAAATCAAGTGTTACAAGGGAAGAATAAGGAAACTGGATATACAGGTGGTCTTTGGCTTACAACTGGTCGCTTAGCAGAGTTACAGCATCCCCCCAAAAAAGTTACTTAAGACACCATTTTGACATTATGACCACTGCACTGCCCCCATGGTAATTCACCCTGATAACCAATCTCAGGGATGCTGCAGTGCCCCCACCTATCTTCCATCCCATCAAGTCCCCATAGGCCTTGGACTGCTTCCGCTCCCTGTGAGTTCCTATAGAGCCTTGGGTCTGCTTCCCACCCCCCCATTACAAAGCAAGTAACTTTTGAAGATCTCCAGAGCTCCATACCTCACATTGGGGAAGGAAGGAAGGTCACTCCATGGCTCAGCATCCCTGGGTCCATGCGACTGCATGCCAGAAATGGCTGCCATTTTCTGAGCAGCCTCAAGGAGTTGTAACTGCTCCAAAATGGCATCCTCTTCAGGGATGTTCATTGATTTAGCAATGGAAATTTTGATCCCAATTGCTATCATAACTCAAGGACTGCCTATATTGTTTCCCAATTACATTGACTAGGAATTATTGGCTATTGTGATCTTAACACATGTGGAGGATATTAAACTGAGAAAAGCTGCACCAGACTATATACTTCTAAGTACAGAAGTCTTAACTACATGGACCAATTACTCAGTTAGTTGTTCAGCAAATAACTTTCTAATGATTCAAAAATGAACTGATGTTTTTTTTAAAAAAATAAAATGATCTAAAAGTAGTTTATTGGATCAGTTACAGCCTTTGAAGATGTAGTGTTACTTTATGATACATGTATATTAAATATGAATTTACAATCTGTTGTCTGTCTTTGTATATTGTTGATCATTCTAGCTTTATTGGAGAAGAATCCGTTGCAGCTGGTGCAGGAAGTATTTTGACCGATAATCCCACATGGATTATTGACCCTATAGATGGAACAACTAATTTTGTGCATAGGTAATTTTTTAAGCTATTACTACATGTTCTGGATAAGTAATATTTAAATGCCTTGTTTCTTGGCTATTAGAGGATGGTCTTTGGTTCTATTGTGATATGAAAATGTTAGAACATGTTTTTCAGTATTTTCTTTAGGGGTGTCTAGAATAATTTTATCCAAATTTTACTTTTCTAATTTATACTTGTTGCTTTTGTCATCATCTTACAAATGCAATATATTTCTCTTTTTGATCTTCAAGGTTTCCCTTTGTAGCCGTTTCAATTGGCTTTGTAGTAAAGAAACAGGTAATCAAATTTCTCATTTTAGTTTAACTTCTAATAGGAAAAAATGTTTTCATTGCAACCTCTTCCTATAATGTAAAGTTGGACTGATAAAGATTTATAGGTGTTACATTTCTCTTATTACAGATGGAATTTGGAATTGTGTATAGCTGTGTAGAAGACAAGATGTATACTGGTCGAAAAGGAGCAGGAGCCTTTTGCAATGGACAAAAACTCCAAGTGTCAAAACAACGAGGTAAAGCTTTGTCATTTCTGGTTTCTGTGCATTAGAGTGGGAATTCATTTCACAGAGCTCCATAAGTTTGAGAAAGCAGAGGACTGCATCAGCCTATTTCACACCAATTATGCAATGATTACTGTATCCTGTATAACAGGTTTCCCGACTTTATACTTTGGAATTCCTTTGCCCTTTGAGTTATTTTTCCTTCTTGTGTCCTTTGCCAAGGAACTTTTTTTTCATATTTAAGCCTTGGAAGCACTGTCTCTCTCAGCACATCTCACTTCACAAGGTGGTTGTTGTGAGGAAAATAGAGGAAAGGTGTGTTGGATATTTTCACTGCCTTGAGTTATTTGTAAAATAATAAGGTGGGATACAAATAAATAAAATAAATAAATAAAATGACCCACACAGTCTTTGCTTGTTTCCACTTCTGCATCCCCTTGTTGCTAATATCAGCCTGAAGTTGAGAAAGGTTCTTTCACCTTTTCTTATCATTCTATAGTACAAGGTCTCTTCTTTGACGTTTTTTTTTTTTACTGGCCTTGCTATATCTTGACCTTTTCCACTGCCTTTCACTTTTCAAATTTCTTTTTATTCTAAAATTATAAAGTCACCATAGCCCTTTCTGCTATTGGCTTTCTTCCTAAATCTTTTTCTTCCAAGAATTAGTTTGGTGTAATGTAAAGGTGGAAACCACGAGGCTTGAGCCGTAGGCACAAAAGCTGGCTTATGAGTTTAGTCAATCCCTCTCTCAGTCCTCACAAGATGGTTTTTGTGGGAAAAATAGGAGGAGGAAGGAGTATTAGGTAGGTTCACCGCCTTTAGTCATATGTTTATAAAAGAGCAGGATAAAAATATAATAATAATGTCTTCCAGAAATCACACAGGCTTCTTTTGTTCTTATATTGCATTGCGAAATTGCCTTGAAGGATGTAAATATCTAAATGTATTTCCATAATTTACATTGCAAAATCATTGAGAGCAGAAATGAGCTTATCTGATGGCAGTCAGCCAGAAACGTATATGAGGAGTGAAATGTTTCTATTTGCTCTATAACTGCTCCACTTGGTGCAAAAAGATTAATCAAATGCCCTTGGAACGGAGCTTACTCTGAATGTGTTGTCTTAGCACATTGTTACTATTGCTTCTATACTAACTGGCAATATGAGTGCTGTTCAAGCAATCTGCTTGATGCCTCCATGCCATTTCAGACAATTTGGCTGCCTTTTTTTATTTTTTGATGCATCAGCGAGTTGTTCTGTGATTGTTTGCCATTTTTTTAAAAAATTGAAATTTTCATTAAAAAAGATGGATTTATGGGAAACAGTACAGAGCATATCTGACTTTGGCAGTCAACAGGAGAATCAATTTGGAGAGTATCATATATCGGAATAAAATGCAACTTCATTGTTCATGTAATATCTGTAGGGTACCCAGTCTCAAGTGTCAGGGCTAGAGGATTGTTCAGAACTTTGTGGGACATAATTACTTGTATTCTTTAACAAAGGTTTATGCAGTATGTCTTTAGTTTGTTTTCTTTTTCATATTCAGGTCAGACATGTCTAAGTAAGCATTAAGTGAGCCTGGGGGCAGACACTGCCTTTTTCCTCACCCTTCTATGCATTCGATACAAAATAAGTAACAATGTGCTTTAAACAATGCTTTATATTAAAGTTGTTGATTTTGCCTTTTTTTAACAGCACTGATCAAATGTAAATTAATGGATGCAGTTTTGTTTTATTTTGCAGATATTACAAAAGCACTCTTAGTATCAGAATTGGGGTCCGACCGTGATCCAGAAGTTATAAAAACAGTTCTTTCTAATATGCAAAGGCTCCTTAGCATTCCTATTCATGGGTACAGTATCTTTCTTATTTTAATTTATTTGCGTTTTTATACAATTTGAAATATCCGTACAATGCAGATATTTCCAAGAAGACGAGAATGTCCCCATTATTCTCCCAGTCCACACAAGGACTCAAATTAGGACTCTGTTTCAATACATTGTCCCAGATGGTATAAGCAGAAAACAGGCTGTAAAGTAAAAAGAATGTTGATTGAAAACCTCGCCCTACTCTTTATGATCAAGGAACCATGTGACTTTGTACACTAAGTATGAGTGTCAGTGCTGGAGGAAAAAAAAAAAGAATTTAGGCTAGGAGTGAAGAAGAATAGAGGTTAATCATTTCTGCAGAGGTGTGCCTGCTTGTGGCAGTGCAAGAGTTTATTTGCCAGTTTTGAGATTTGTGTGCCAAATGTCACTGATTTCCAAATGCACTAACAAATTACCGCTTATGCATTATCTTTATTAAAGAATCTGTACACTGTCATAAAAATACATAATGTGCAAAGTCTCAGAAGGTGATTGCTGAAGGCAAAGGAAATAGTATGAAAAGGAAAATGTTAATATTAACATTGCTAAGGCATTGGAAAGGAAGATAGTTTCAATTCAACAGGAGCAGTCTGTTTAAAAATAATTGAATCTTGACCTATCTATCCTGGTAGTATGTTTAAATTTTCAACCCCAGCCGCCCAGAGTTACCCTGAGGTAAGATAGGTGGCCTATAAAGTTTATAAATACATTTTTGAATGCCATCAGTTCAGAGGTAATAGCTAGAAACAAAGTCCACTGAATAATGGAAAGAGATGTTTGGATGTATGCACTTAATTTTCAACATCCAGAAGAGTCTGTTTCCTACCTCTCTGTGATGTATTGTCAGAATTCTAGCTGATTGAAAAAGGCACATATTGAATAATTAAGATAGGATGATGTAGTAGTGTGCTATTATGAAGAGCAATATCCTGATATTGGCTATATCCAGATTTAGACATATCCACTTTATTCTACTGAGTTCCACTCAGTTTCCCAATTCAGAGTTTGCTCCTGCGCTTCAGCATCCCAAATGATTAGTCATTAACTTAAATGCCTAAATAATAGCTTGCAGTAATTCTGTTACCTGTTTTAGGATTAGAGCAGTAGGGACGGCAGCTATTAATATGTGCCTGGTGGCCACAGGAGGAGCGGATGCCTATTATGAGATGGGGATTCACTGCTGGGACATGGCAGGAGCTGGAATTATCATTCTTGAAGCAGGGGGAGTGCTGCTCGACATCTCAGGTAAAATATGTTGAAAACAAAGTAAAGCCAGTTTTGTACAATTAACAGTTCATTACTGTTGAAAAACTTGAGCAGTTAAGTAATTTTCACTCAGGGATACAAACCTGAGAATTTTCTTATAGAAAGAGTGGGAATAACAAAACATTCAGGATACACATCATCATGCAAATGTTGCAACTTCCATATTTGTGTCAAATATCAGGAACTAGGTACATAAGAACAGCATTTGCATGACGACATCACCAAGGTTTGATGCAATGCTGCTAATTTCTACTGTGTTATATGTACCCTGCTGGGAATCATAAAATAAGAATAATCCTGATTTATATTTTTCCTTTGTAACATGAAACTCTGAGTTCAAAATACTAAATGACCCACCGCTGTTTTGCTAAGGGGCAAAACAAAATGGAATTAAGAGATTGTATGCACAGTAATACATCTTCCACAGCAAGGATGATCTTTCTAGAAGCTATGCCACATGAATATGGCTACTGTGTGATTGAAATGTAAGACTTTTCCGTTTTTAATTTGTAAACCTAGTTCTCACACTAGGATTCAGTATTTGACTGAAAATTTATTTGATCATCATTTGTTCTGTACTGCAGGATTTTGAAAACTGTATATGAGGTTGTTCCTTGTCTTGATTAATTGGACTAGTCCAGAGAATTATTATGGTATAGTAGAAAGTGCTGGACAAGGATCAGGAAGCCCTATTGAACATTTGGAGAGCCAAATTAATTGACTGTCAGCCATGGATGTTCACTGTGTTACTTTGGACCAGGATACTTGTTGGGGAAAAGACATGGGTGCTGCTTTGAATTGCAAGAAAAAAAAATAACAGGCAAATATAGTTTAGGAAAATAAAATTTAATTCTTGAAATAATATCCAGTTTGCATCTCTGCTGCTATAGGGCACTTTATCTGTGAATTAGTAGAAATAGGTCAGATATATAGACGTGTGTTCAATACATGTGTGTATTTGTTTTTCTAGGAGGACCATTTGATTTGATGTCAAGAAGGATCATTGCTGCAAATTGTCAAGCAATAGCAGAGCGGATAGCAAAAGAGATTCAGATCATTCCTTTGCAAAGGGATGATGCAGTGAATTAAATATCCTATCACATGGCTTGTATTCCAAAAATAACTTTTCTTTGAAGCTCATCCATTGTACCTGAGTAAACAGAGGCTCAGTTATCCATCTTGATATGTCAAAACCTGCTGCTGAAATCCTTCCCCTCTCCAATGTTTTAAACATTTCTTTTATTATTTATCTTGTGTGCGGCACATTTTTAAATGTCATGCTTTCTTGTCTCTGGCAAGAAAATAAATGGGATATAGTGCAAAAGAGGATGAAGTAACTCATCTATATAATTAACAGTTCAGAACAAGTTTGACTATGGGTATAGTTCCATGTGACATTTCTTCCTCCGTATATTATAAGGGAAAAGAATAAAATCTCTAGCCAAATGTTTTAAGAGAGATAATTTCATTTAAAACAGAAATGAATTTTTAAAAGAATTTGTTGCCACAAAATGTAGAAGCATGAAGACTCGTTTTGTAATCTGCATCTGTCATATAGGGATTGGGGAGCCTTTAATGGCAAGGCAGACCAAAGGTAGAAAGATGCGCCAATGTTCTTTCCTCTTTCCCCTTGCAATTGCCCTGATCAGGCTGATCTTTCTCCATCAGCCTGATTTCCTTGCTTAGTTAAGGATGCATTGTTTTATATATCTGTGGAACAACATGCTGAGAAAATTCACTGCTGATGCTTCCTATTTATAAGGGAAAGAATGCCTTCTGCTAACTTTCCTTATACATATTTTACTCATAGTTTATAGTTCCCATAAACTGTGCAATACTAATTATTGAGTAATGTATGGGGTATATAGTGAATGCAATGCCAGAACAGAAGGTATGACCGAACTAAAACTAAAAAACCTATTTAGATTTAAGTAGAATAATACAATGGTATCTTATATCAGATTAAGCTACTGTGAGTGTATTTTGGTCTCTTAGAATGGCAACAATCAAATAAGTGTTTTTTTAATATTGAACTCTTTTTGAATTAGGCGTTTTTGTTTTGTTTGGATATGTGAATATATGTGTGGTTTAATCATTTATTTCCAGTTTTCATAAACTGGATGATTTGAAGTAGATATTTAATCCAGAGTTGGATTCATTCTTAGAAATACTAGGTAAATAAACTAACTTTCAAGTGCAGCAGATTGCCTTGCAATGTACTTAAAATGGATAATTCAATATGTTGTATAACCCTCCATGTATCAGTGACATAATAAATAGACCCACAAAATTGTGATCTATTTATTTATCTTTAAGATCCCACAAGATATTTGTTGTATTTTCTAATAGGCTAATAGCTAATTCTTTCAGGGATTACTCTGTAAGAGTGTTTGAAGTACAGTTGAGTGTTTTACTGTAAATCACTTGATAAGTGCTATATCCATTAGTAGAGAAAAAATATAATTGAAGATGTGAAGAAGCTTTACAAAGCTTTATGACATCTAGAAGGTTGGAATCATATATTGATAGTTGTCATGTGCTTATCAAATCTAATCATAACTTTGACATAAGTAATTTACATGACAGAGACAAATTCTGACATACTGGTGTCATATTTCCAAACTGGTGATAAATCATAAATGTAAGATTCCAACCTATTTTATGCCAGGAGTTAGTAATGGAATGTGAACAGACATCAACCATCCAGAATGTCCCGATGTCCCCGAAATTAAGTAAAAATGTTTTAAAACTCCAAATGGCCCAAATCTCCCATGTTTAGAATTGTTGGGGGTGCCTTTCTTATAAGTTCATACAATGTTATCTAACCATGAAAATATTCCTGACTTTTTCCATGCATATTTTTTATCTTCTTGTGTTTTAGGTTAGAAAGTTATTATGTTAGTCCTCTCAGTTTAGCTATACCGATGCAAGCTTCTGGTATATTGAAAGAATTATTTGTTCCAAAGCAGTGATAAGTATCCAAATAATTTTCACTGATAAGTTTTGTTTTCCCAGCTCATTTCCTTTCTAATTGTTTGCGTTTAACCTCATTGTAGAAATAAACTGTTCTTAGCCTAATCCTAATTTCCTGTTGATTTTACTTGTGTATCACTCTCTGGAACTGGCTTATCTCTGGGTATCTTGTAATCCACTTTTGTGAATTGTATGGAAACAAGGTTTGGCAAGGAACAAGCCAAATAGGAATCCTTGGACTTCTGCAAAATATCTGAGTTTAGAATACTACAATAAATTGATTTATATTGTTAAATGTAAATTGTTTTAAAATGTGAGGTCATAATTTGTTTAAAACAAAGATCAGTTTTATCAATTATAAATTATCTCTTTGAATGTTTTTTCTCCTTCCTATTCTTTTCAGAAATCTACAAGCCCCAGCTTCTTTCTAGCAATCCATCAATCTTTTTAAAAAAGTTCATTACAATAGTTTTCTTAAACTGTTCCTGAAACTGTCCCATTGTGTACCATCTTCTAAATATAATTGCTGGAAACAGTACTACCACTACACAATATACACCATTGCCTTTTTAAAAAAAAAAAAAAAAATCAAATATTAGTTTTCACACAATGCAATTTTTTTTTTTTACAAAATGGCAAGACAAGAATGAGAAAGAAAAAAAGGAAGAAATGGATAGCCCTCCTTATTTTCATTTTTAAAAATGTTTTCTTTAATTTATTAAATTGGTTCCCTAAAATGCATGAGACTGAACCAGTTACTCCTACTTAAGTCAGCCAGTAGAGGGACTCATTTCACTCATTTCAAATACTTCACTTTCCTTTCCTGATGAACTAATACAGTTGTCCTATTTATAATACATTGAAGTATGTCTTCTGTTTTTCAGTTTGCTATTCTTCTGTCTTGCCTACAAAGTAGTTATTTTATGATTTCTGATAGACTAAACTGAAATATCTGCCACTTTTGGTAGGTTGTGACTGGATGTAAGGGGGCTGTAACTACCAGTAATAGAACAATTATAAAGTAGATGGAGCAAGATCTTTTTTCCTCGTTTTCTGAGATATAGAATTTTTCCCACACTTTGGGGATTTACACAACAATATATATTTCATGTTACAAAATTATGGGAAATCATGCAACCAATTATGAGGCAATTGGTAGAGAGGATTTTGGGGGTCACAAAAAGGTTTACACTTTTGTAGTATAACAACAATAGTGATTTGGTCCCAAAAGTTTCCTAAACCCCATATAGATTCTCAAATCCAACACACCATGTTCTGTAGTTTTATCAGACTGCTTACCTGAATTTCAAAATAGAGAACTTACTGTCAAGCTCGATTTAAAAAAACTAAACTCTCTCTCCGTGTGTGTGTGTGTGTGTGTGTGTCACACACTGATCTATTCAGTAAAGTTTTTGTGCAATCACTAAAGCATGGCTTCTCATGCTGATTTTTCCATTCTATTTCTACTTTAGTATCATACCTGAATCAGCAGTGTAATGAAACTTCAAAGACTAACGTGATTCTAAGTTACAGTAACAGTGCCTTAATTTTCAGCTCAAAAAAACAATAGTTTTACTTTATTCTGTATTGGTTTGATTTCAGAAGAATATCAGAATATCAGAATCAGTTCAACAACTATGATCACTGAGAAAATAGTAACCTATGATAAGTAACATAGGACTTATTTCTCCTCAAACGTATTTCAGTATGGAATTCTTTATTTATTTCTGCACACAAGCACCATAGTTACATTGACATCACTTGAAGAATAAGAAGCAAGAAAATGTAACCTGGGAATGAAATGTCTTATACTCCTTTGTAGACCCTGGTACAAATGACATCATTCAAGATGTATTCCTGGAAGAGAAGAAGATGCGAGTAGGAATTTCATGTAGGTAGAGTATGATTAACATCCATTAAGATCAATCTTTCATCTGCTTCCCATTACAAGTAATCCCAGAGTAGACTACACTAAAGCAAAATGATAAACCAAAAAAATTCAAAAAACTGAAACTAAAACTATCATATCAGCAGGGATTGTGCTGATCCTACAAAATAAGAAGCAGATACTAAGCCAGGTCTCCATTGCAGGACACAGTGTTGGGAGCAATAATACTAAGAGGACAAAACTACTAAATTGGGATTTAGTTATTTATTTAAAATGTTTATACAGCTGCTCATCTTATATCAAACTCTGGGTGGCTCCCACTCACCCATTAAAACAACATTGATGGAAACAATAGAGCAGTGGTTCTCAACCTGTGGGTCGGGACCCCATTTGGGGTCGATCGACCATTTCACGGGGGTCGCCAAGCAAGGCTGTCCACCATTTTTTTTTGTCTGCCATTTTTTTTGTCCGCCATTTTTTTCCCCTTTTCCGGCGCGTGCCTTACCTCCCTTGGGCTGGGCCAGCTGGTGGTCGGCCTGCTCTGTCTCTGCCGCTTGCCAGCTACGCCTCGGCCAGCGCAGGGGGCGGAACCACGCATGCGCGGCGCTCCCGGGCAGGGAAAGTCCTCGACTTACGACCGGTTGGATAGTCCTCGACTTACGACCGGTTTAGTCCTCGACTTACGATCGGTTTAGTCCTCGACTTACGACCGGTTGGGGTCGTGGCATTAAAAAGGTTGAGAACCACTGCAATAGAGTATGCATATCAATTAAAACCATCAACATCAGAAACCTGGCACCAAAGTTAAGCTTTCACATATAGTCCCTTGCTAAATCCTCTCTTGCACCTTACTCTACTCAAGCATTTGGGGGGAAAACCAGGATTTCTGTGTTTTTTGTAAGGCTTGGAGGTTAGAGGCCTGTTGAATTTCAAGGTAAAAGGCGTTCCATAGACTGTGGGTTACTACAGAAAAGTCAAACTTACTAGATCTCATAAAATGACAACGTTTAAGGTAAGGGAGTAGGAGCATGCCCAATCTATCCCGATCTGGTAGAAAGGTAGATGTCCTTAGGAAAAGGTAGTCTTGCAGATAACCTGGCCCTGTGTCAGGTAGGGCTTTAAAGGTAATAACCAGCACCCTGAATTGCACCCAGAAGGAAACTGGGAGCCAGTGCAGCTTGCACACTAGAGGTGTTTCATGGATAAACTTAGGGACGCCCATCACTGGACAAGCGGTAGCTTCTGGGTTGTCTTCAAGGGCAGGCCCATGCAAAGCGCATTGCAGTAATCCAAAAAGACTGCACTTTTGGAAGGACAAAGCTTTTTTTCTTTTAAACTTTGCAAATCCTATCTTACAGTTTACAGTATAGCTTTCAAGGGCTTCCTATCTTAAAATAACAGAAAACCAAGGTGCTGATTTTCAGTAATAATGATCAGAAAAACTCTCGGGGCTTCCGAAAGGAGTTTGGAGCTGCATGTAATGTTGGGGACAAGCTTTTTTCCACATTACATTATATATGGTTGCATAGAAGCCTGCTGATCTCTATGTGCTTTAGTGGCTATCTGCTTATACAGAAAGTATACTGGTAGTCCATGACTTTCAACCATTCATTTAGCAACTGTTCAAAGTTACAATGGCACTGAGAAAAATGACTCATGACCAGTCCTCACAACCAGGGCAGTCTCCCCATGGCTGCATGATCAGAATTCAGGCACTTGGCAACCAGCATGTATTTACGATGATTGCATCATCCCAGGGTCACCTGATTGCCATTTGTGACTTTTCCAGCCAGTTTCTGAAAAGTAAAATCAAAGAGGGAAGCCAAATTCACTTAACAACCACATGGTTCATTCAACAATTACAGTGATTTGCTTAACAACCTTAGCAAAAAAAAGCTTGTACAATCAGGTACAACTCATTTAACAAAGCCTTGCTTAACAGAATAAATTCTGGTCCCAATTGTGATCATCAGTCTAGGACTACCTGTATTTCTCCTCCTCTAAACGAGCAAGTTATTCTTGAAAACCTTTAGGTAGAATAAATGACTTCAAACATAAGAGTGACTTTGACGTTACAGTTTGAAGAAAATGCTCCCTATCCCTCTTCCCCAGACTTGTCATTTTTTAATTCTAAAAATAGTTGAGTCTAGTTCATAAAATGAAAAAGAAGCAAAAAGCATTAAAGGGTTGAGTTCACACAAGCCATGATTTACAGCTCACGGTGCCCGAGTTCAGAATTGAACAACTTCTGCAAGTGTAGCTGAAGAAACCTCGAATCTCCCTGGTAGCCAAAACAGATGCTAAGTCTTTGGAATTGGATTAAAATAAGGCAGCCTAATATCAACTACTCAGTTTCACTTTCATCAGATTGGCAGGTGCTAGAGATATGGCCAAGGGTGTCAGTGAGGGTGAAGTTGGAATTTGCTGAGACTGCATGACAAGAAAGACATCTTGATCTCCTCCTAGAGCAGTGATGGCGAACCTTTTAGAGACCAAATGCCCCAAAATTGGCCCCACCTCTGCTCCACCCCCTGCCCCGCCCTCACTCCGCCCCCCCATCTCCCACCCCGCCTGCCCGCAGGGCCACTCACCGCTTCCAGGGCCCACTGCAGATCGCCCAGGCAGCCCAGCAGCGCTATGGCGGTCATGCCCTCTGCCTGCGCCCTGCAGCATCAACTGTGCACGATGGGGTGTGAGGGCAGAGTCTTGTCTATGCTGCCTGGCTGCCATGTCCTTGGCTTCGCTGCTCCGTGTGGACCACGCTCAGGGGCAACTCTTCTTCAGGGGGCTGCTGGAGAGGAGGGGGTCACAGGGGAAGGTGAGGCTGGGGCAACAGCACGTGTGCCCACAGAAAGGGCTTCAAGTGCCGCCTCTGGCACCCGTGCCATAGGTTCACCACCACTGTCCTAGAGCCTATCTTGGCTTGCTTTCTTGCTCTCTGAGGTTTCTCTAAGATGTATAGTCTTCAGCTCCCAGAATTTAATTTTCCTTTGGTTCAATTCTGTTTGATTCTTGGGGACTGGCTGCACAAGTTTCTGCAATTTTCTTGGCAAGGTTTTTTATAGGTAGTTTGCCCTTGCCTCCTTTCCAGGGCTCTGAGATGGGGCTGGAACTCATGGTGTCCCACTTTCTAGCCTGATGCCTTAACCATTGCACCAAACTGGCTGAGAAACGCTGCTGTAGAGTAAATATTGCTGAATTATGGATCTACTCTGCA